ACAATTACGGTGAGCAATGCAAAGGATGGAGAGAACTGCAGATAAGAAGGATGGCTAAACATAGGTGAAGCAATCACAGTGAGTCATGGGCAAAGAAAATGCCAGGTTTGAGAGGTGTGATTTAAAGATGGTGCTATCTCAGGAATGTTAGGCATTTCATCATCAGAAAATCTAATGCAATTCTCCATAGAAACAGATTAAAGGGGGGGGAATGCCATTTAATTATCTCAAGTGATGCCTTTGGAGCATTTCATAAAGATAACGACTGATGTTAAAAACTGTTGACTTGGAACAGAAGGGGAGGGCCTTAATATCTAATAGGCTCCAGCTATTCACAGCAAACATCCCAAGGAACTGTGTGACTTTAGAAATACTATCAGTCACGACAAAAGTTGCTAATTATGCTGCAACCTTTTGGAAATGTGCCTGAATACCAAGTCAAAGTAAGAAACCAGATAGAAAAAAATAATAATTGGTGTAGAAAGTTATGGTTGCCTTTAGCTGAAGATGACACGAGGTCATGGTGAGGCCAGAATTTAATGTAAAAGTAGTCTAAAGTGACTTAGAACTGAATAAGGCCAATGGGGTAGGTTACTATGTGATCTATTCTGTACTTTCCCTTCTTGTCCGGGTGACAGAATTAACTTTTCATTAAAGAACATAATTATATATTTTTACTGGATGAGATAGAGCTGTTTTTGTAAGAAGTCACTTTATTATCTTTCAAAATAAAAGTTCTATGAGTTTATAGCAATTTCACAACACAAAATTGAAGTGGGCTAGGGGCCAATAGGTTTGCTGTTCCTCTGAGCATCCACTTTCAGACCTTCTCTTCCCTTTTCATCTGTTTATGCAAAATCATCACACCAGAATATTCACTTATTCAAACACATGCAAATTAACACTCTACATTTGCAATGGAGTTCTATTCCCTTTTATTTGCCTGACGTTCTGAGTCTTCAAAATTATTATTATTGTCAACATTACCTTCATGCATCATTGAACCTCTTTTGAGTCATTGATCCAAATTTTCAAATAGGAACATTTTCTCTGTGTGAATCTTATAACAGAAAATACTAAACTCACAATTATAAAAATATAAATGGTGGGAAATTCACCATCAGAAACAAAAAGTACATTCTGTTATCTGAAGCATCTGTAGCAAGAGCTGATCAGCACACTTTCATAAAGGCCACAAATTTCCAGTCAGTGATCATTACCATACATGTACCAAGGAAAAAAATCATTATATTGTTTTATGACTTTCTGGAATTCTTATAAAATAATTGTCCCACTGATTTTTCTTCCCAAACTTTCATGTTACCTGTAGCTCTATAGGTTGACCACTGTGGACCACAGAGGTCTGAACACATCACTTTAGGAATCTTTGTTCAATAGATATACATAAGGAAGCATGTGGGCTAAAATTACACTAATGTGGCCAGCTATAGTAGCACATACCAACATCCTAGCACTTAGAAGCAGAAGTATAAAAGTTTTAGAGCCAGCCTCCTTGCTGTGTAAAATTATCCTCCAAAATTAAGCATTTAAGCTCCTCAACTTAGAAAGCAAGCAAACCTTACGGAGCTCAGCAAGCAAGCAATTCACTAGTCTCAGGAAGTTCCTGAAATTTAGAAGATTCACATACCCCCTCCATGAGTTCTAATAAGTCTTAATAATAAAAGCTCAGAGTCAGATATTAGGGGGAGAAAATGGAAGGATGAGAGAATCAGAGCAGCCACTAGAGCACTTACCTCTATGAAATCCTCCCACTGAAAAGAGATGGCGTTCCTATCTCCTCCCTCCTATATTCCTCTCTCCATCCAGCCATGGCACTTACTGCCTGTCTGTATAGACCTCCAGAACTCTATGGCTAGTTAGTGGCTAACTCTGCCCTCTGATCTTCAGGCAAGCTTTATTTGTTAGAGTACAAACACTACATTACCACAACTAGCAGTTACAACTGATGGGGAGTAGATACACTGACTAGTCTAACTCCATCCTAGTTTTGCAGAGAATTCCAGAGATGAGTCTTTATCAACGTTAGGGTGGATCTTTTGATGATGTAATTGTATTAGAGTCATCTGTGCTCCTGTGGTTGCTTGTCACTCATGCTTGGTAAGTCCAGTGAATTGATTGGTTCACCAAATAGTACTCTGATGAAATAATTTCTTTGATCTCTTGTTGGTGCCCTATTTGGGGTAAATCACTATTTGTATGTGCATCACCAGGAAAAGTCATATAGCACTTGGCTACATATACTTAGTGAGTTAAGTGCCAACCTAGGCTACATGTGACCTTATTTCCAGATAAATATAAGAAAAAATGATAATGATTTGAAAAATTTGAGAAGCTACTTACTTCTATCTTGTCTTTGGATATCTATTTCTATCTGAGGAGAAACTCAATGCAATTTTGTGGAGTGATCCTGGGCTTGATATTATTCTATTGGATGACTTTTAATTTGTGGTCAAAGTTTAATGATGATGCTCATTCCAATGTCATTTTTGGTGGGAAAGCAGAATCCCGCAGAACACTTTCTCCCAAGAAAGTCATATATTTTTTAAACTATCCATTTCTTATCGCAGGGTCTTTGTTTCTAAAAGGAACTCTCAGTTTAAGGAAAAGTTTCCCAGCATTCTTTAGTGTCTACATTTGATCTTGATATTTACAATGATCAAACAGAAAGCTATGTTCATCTAGGAAAGTATTTGGTGGTATTTTTAGGTAAAGAAAGCAAAAAATGGTCTTCAATTTGCTTTGAGAAATATTTAATCTTGGGGAAATCTTCATACTTTGGATCAACCTTGTAGATTTAGACATTTGCATTTTGGAAGGGTAGGTGCTTAGGCATAGGGAATATAATGAAAAGGTGTGTGTGAGAGAGAGAGAGGGGGAGAGAGAGAGAGGGAGAGAGAGGGGGGGAGAGAGAGAGGGAGAGAGAGAGAGAGAGAGAGAGGAAGAGAGAAAAAGAGAGAGGAGAGTTGGGGAGAGACAAATACAGAGACATGGAAGAGTTCTTCACATTTATTTGGTAGCTTATTTTCATTGCTAACCTTATATTTCTTGGCTTTGAAGTGGAACTTTCTGGTATTTTCAGCTTGGAGCAAATCAGAAAGTTCTAATGAGTTTCCTTGATATTTACTTTGACCTGATTCAGGTCAGCTTATTGCTTTTTTCTCACACTCCAAAAGCAGGGAAATCTCCTCTTGCTCATTAGGGCTTCTGTGAGTAATCTTAACTCAAAGATTTCTAATTAAAATGTAAAGATCATTAGTATGAGTCATAACAGAGGCTTTTCTTCCCAGTTGGTGCTGTGATGGTGGTTCCAGGTACACTCCTGCCTCCACCTCACTGAACAATCTATGCTCTTGGTACAGTTTCTCAGCAGCAGAGAGCCTTGACTGGTACCGAAGTTTCTCATTGAGGGCAGGGAGATAGGATGCAAGCCTGGAGGAACCAAGAGGAGAAACAAATTGCAAAGGAAGAATTTTCTTTGCTGCTAGTACCAGGCCAACTGAGTGAGTGGTGCTAAAGGAGAAAGATGAAGAGGACACTAAGTCAGAGAAGAAAGATACTACTATATATTTTATAATTATTTACCCAGGAAGGAAAGAACTGAGCTGGATACTAATAGATACCAAATTAATTCTTTTTTGTTTTTTGTTTTATATTTCATTTTGTGCTTCAGGAATTCAAATATCTATATAATCTTCACTATTGCAAAAAAAAAAAAAAACCCACTGCTGCCTTTTTCATATTTCTGACATTTTAAGTAGAGATATTTACTATTGTTTGGAAGTGTGACATTGTTGATCATGTCAGCTACATTATTTCGTTTTGCATGTAAAAACTGTGATTAATCAAATCTTTAAGTCTTCTCTTTTGTATGGATTCATGGAGAATTTAGCTCCCAGTTAGTCATACTTATGACTTGTTTTATGTATGACTTGTTAATAAGACCAAACTTTTGAGTCATAGTCAAGAGCAAGTAAAAATATGGTGCTGTGTGTATTTTCCATTACTAGGCTTTAATCTTGGGAATATTAATGGGGGACTTAAATCAGAAACAAGAAGAATGTAATGACTCTATAGATGCTTGAGTGGAAAATGAACACTCATTGATTTGCTTCTCCTCTCTGTCATCTGAACTTTTGACCCATTTCAATTGTCACAATATAATTAGCTTTTCTATTAAAGGAGTTGGGTCTAATAGAATAAAAATACTTTCTTTCATAATTAGAGTTTCTGGGTTTCCAGGAGAAGATGGTTATTTGAATTATTTGTGATTTCAAATTCAGTTAGTTGCAGTGGCAAATGATTACAATTTACATATACATATTTATCTTTCATCTTATTAATTAACTGTGCTGGAACAGTTTGAGGGTGACATATGAGTATTGATTTCATTCTGTGTTTTGATGTAAATGTCATCTAATGTTTAGAGAGAGGAAATTTACACTACGCTGTGATGGGAGATGGTAAAGTTATTCTGTGATAACCCTGTGGTAAAATGGTGAGGAGTTTAATCTACATCATAAACTCAATGCCCATTTCTCAAGGGATGTTACTAACTTTAGGGCATAGGGAATCTGTTCATCATGGTAGACTTAAAAGAGTAATGTGAGGGATAACCTTGATTGCCAACTTAACAGATGTGACAAGAGGGAACCTCAGTTGAAGAACTGTCTTATTCAGATTGATAGTGGGGATGTCAAGGGGGCACTTTCTTAATTGCTGATTGGTGTAGAATTTTCCAGCCTATTATGGTTATCCCTAGGCAAGTGGGCTTGGCTATATTAGAATGATAGCAGAGAAAGCCAGGGTAACAAGACATATTGTATGTATATATCAACAATCATTTGTAACATGTGTCTAAGACAAGGTTAGAGAAATGTATGTGATCTATGTATGTCTATCTACCTATCTATAATTTAATAAGATGTCTATGACCAGTATTTATGAAGATACAACTTTACAATGGATTTTTTTTTTTAACAGGGAAGGATGCGAATGTAGTCCTCTACTTTCACAAATTATGCAGTTGAGTTTCCTGCATTTTGGGACATTTCAGGGGTCAGCACGTCCAGGAGTGCAATAGATGAGCCATAGCCTGAGAAAACCACCTTCATGGTCATGATTATTTCCCCTTCCAGGTAAGTATTTTATGGTAGATTTTTGTGAATTTCTTACCTAAATCTTTTTTGAAGTTCAAGCTGGATTCAGTTTTTGATGAAATGTTGGAAGTTGGAGGACTATCTCCAAGGGTTTTATACAAGTTTCTTGTGGTAAGTGAAACTAATCTATCAGTGGCTTTTCTGAGAGAATTGCTAAGAAAAATTCATAGAAAATCTTGAAGACATCAGATTCTTGAACAATCCTATCCTCTTACTGAAGTACTTCAGCACTGAAATAGTTTCATCTCTGAGACAGATGTTAAAAATATGAATCTTAGAGTTAGATCTTGGACCCTCTGCCAGTGACCTCATGTATTGTCCCAGTCGTACCACTGGCTCCTATATTAAGGGAGTCTAGTTTGGTCTTGTGCAGGCTCCCCGTTTGTCAGACCAGATTCAGTGATGTCTCACTAGCTCGGGTCAGCTAATTCTGTCATGGTCTTGACTCCTTTGCTTATATTATTGCTCCTCCCTCACTTCGATTGTACTCCAGGAGCTTGGCCGAATGGTTAGTTGTGGATTTCTGCCATCCACTTCCATCTGTTTCTGAAAGAGGGTTCTAGCTTCTCTAGGGTTGTGGATTGAGCCAATTCTATATGGAGAGATTTCTTGCTCAGCCTAGACACAGGGGTGGGAGTGTGGAGAGGTGCCTTGGTCCTGTCTCAAGGAGATGATGGACAGATTTAGTAGACTTACTAGGGAAGGCCTTACCTTTCCAAGGAGCAGATGGGATGTGGCATGGGGGAGAAGTGGAGTGAGTGGGAGGAGAGGGGGAACTGGAAATGGAATGTAAACAATAAATTAATAAAAATGTGGATCTTGTATATATCTATAGCTTTTTGTGACTAGTTGCTTCATTTGACTATTGACTTAGCTATATGTTTGTCCTTTTTTTCTTTTTCTATTTTTGCAGTGATGGGGATTGAACCCAGACCCTGTATATGCCAGGCAAATGTTTGATCACTTTTCTACATCTTCAACCCTAGTTCCATCTTTACAAAGAACATGCATATATTTTTAAATCAGTCTTTCATTTAAACAAAGCTTCAAATTGATTGTCAAGGAGTACAGTCCACATATCTGTAAAGCTCTGCCAAGTAACAACATAGATGGAACAGATGTTCACCAAATGACTGTGGAACATCTCTGTCAGTGGTCCATGGGTCCTTGCTGTGGGCTGCTGGAGCATGCACAGAGGTTCACACTTTCTCTTTTTCTAGTTCCCACATGTCTGCATTTGATTAGTGATTTAAATACTAGGAACCATGGTGAATGCCAGACTTTGTATCAAGGGAAATTCCCGATCTCCTCTCAGGAGTCTGAGTCTCTGCTCTCAGTGGAATGGGGCATGCCATGACCCTGGTGACATAACTATGCATTTTATTGTTTGGAAAGAAATATGGAACATTAAGGCTACAAATATTCATTGAAGATTTCTTTGTGGTTTTTTTTAAAATGTGGTCTTGAAGTATGGCAAAATAGTGTATATTGGTGAGAAGCTACATTATGCCTACTAAAAAAATCTTTTAAAAATTTTTGAATTTTGAATTCAAAATATTTTGGTTAGTAAACAAAGAAATGGGTAATATTGTGTCACTTTCATACATATACATCGATATATTTGTCCTTTAACTCCCACTGACCTCCTGATTTCTCAACCCTTGCTGGTCCCCTTCCTATGGAAAAGCAATCCCCCTTCTATTATATTCTATTATCTTCTCATTTTCCCTCCTCCTTGCTTTAGATCTATCCATTCCTCACATAGACCACTTTTGCTTTTCACGTCATGAACACACACACACACACACACACACACACACGCACACGCACACATGCATGCAAAATCCAGATTCCACATATGATAGAAAACCTTATATTACTCCTTTTTTGAGTTTAATTTGTTTCACTTAATACAATGATCACCAATTTCACCCTTTTTCTTATGAACGTCATGTATTTATTCTTCTTTACAGCTAAATTAAATTCTACTATGGGTTTTTAAAATTGATTTATGTTTTGATGGACATCTAGGCTAGTTCTATACCTTCCAGATTGTGAGCAATACAGCAATAGATACGAATGTGAATCTCTGTGGTGGGCTGGTTTATTCTTTTCAGTCTGTAGGAGAAGTAGTGTAGCTGGCCTATCTTCAGTTTTTGGAAGAAACCCCTTCTGGCTTTCAGAGGGGATGTAGCAGCTACAGTCTCACCAGCAGTGAATAGGAGCTCCTCATTCTTCATATCCTCAGTAGTATTTCTTATTTATTCTCTTGGTGACAATCGCCATTTGACTAGGAAAAGGTAGCCTCAAAACAGTTTATATTTCCATATCTCTAATGTTATTCAATTTTTTTCAAATATCCATTATCCATTATCCATATGTATTTCTTTCTTTGAGAACTATCTAATCATTTAAGTAGCACATATATTAATAATGAACAATTTGCTTTGTTGGTGTTTTGTATTTAGAGTTTTTCATAGACTTCAGATATTAACCTCCTGGAATCAATACAGTTGACAAAGATTTTCCCTCACTCAGTAGGCTGCCTTTTCTGTGGGCTGATTGTTTTCTTTGTTTTGCAGAAACTTTTCACTTTGAGGCAATTTCATTTTTAGTTTTTGAGGTTGTCTCTTTAATGCCAACCCTTCAAAGTAAACATTTCTTATTTTATCATCTGTGTTTCCAAATTTCCCATCTCTTTCATGGGAAGAAGAAATACCATGGGACGAAGTGCTTAGGGACTTAAGTCTTTATCTCTAATGTTGCTGAATTTCAGCTTCAATTTTGGAGCAAGAAAATTCTTTCTGAATTTATCTTTTTTTAAGAATCCAAGTGGAATGCAAACATGAGAGGGGAAGGCAGAAGACATGTGCACATAGAAATCATATGCTCCGATCTTTGTCTTTAACTTTCATCCCCAATGTTGACTTTATGTTTGGAATATACAAATAGTTCTCCACATGCTAAACATGTTTAAATGTTGCCTAGTGACTAGGTTGCCTCAAATGTTATCTACTCAAAAGAGAAAAATTTCCAAATCTACCCCATTGTGTCCTAAATGTTGTTTTTTATTTTCCAATCTCCCCAGTCCACTTTTGAGATAGCTACAGGTGAAAACAACAATTATAGCAACAAACAAATAAAAACCACCAAAAATAAACAAAAAGAAAATCAGTTTCAAGAGTTATTTAGACTGAAATCATTATATTTCCCAATTTGATTAAATTGTGATTGAAGTGTTATAATGCTGACTTTTGAATCATAGATTCAAATTCACATATCTCAATATAATGCTTTTTTTCTAAACATTCTACCTCCCCACATCAAACAAGAAACCCAACCACGCTATTTCATATTTGCTAATCTAGTCAACATATCATTCTATATGTTATCAATCTATAATTGCAAACATTCACAGAAAGCAACATTAGTTTCTTCTTTGTTGAGTAGTTGAGTGTTTATGGGTGCTTCGTTCTACTGTGACGACACAGAGATGTGATTCCCAAATTACTGAGAGTATAGAAGGAATGTGAAAATTTTATTTATAATAACTGGCAGCTTCAGAATCTTATGCTGGAACATTGTATAATTACACAGAATCGTGAACTTTTGGCATTGTAACATCCAATAGTGTTAGAGCCTAGAGAAGGTGAGCAGCCTGGGCCTGGAACAAGTACACAAGTCAATAGAAAAACCCTTATGAAGACTCAGATCTGAGCAATAGTGTCTCTAAGCTTCAAAGTGGTCACTCAGCTTGGTATTGGGAAATAGTTCATTTCTCCCAATGCTGCTGATAACTGCAGATGCATACACTGTTAACATGGAAGTTGAGCCTTAGACATGGCAGCAAATGTTTCATTGCCTTGGAGCTTAAGTATTGTTGGCCTAAGAAAATTAACTATTGTTCTCAAGTAAAGAATATACTTCTTAATCATATACTTTTCTGGTCCTTAGAAATGAAGTATCTAAAATGAGTTTCTTTTTGCCAACAACTGTGTTTTGATTACTAGAAGGTTCATAGAGGAATCAGTGAGCATCCTTCCCTGTACTAAGGAGCTTGAGAAGCCCAGAAGGGACAATGGCACTGTCAAAATAAAAATGTGCCAAAAACACTTCACAATGATAGCCCCCAAATAGTCAAGCTGTTGGTTATGTTGGAGGTCTGGAGGTGTCTGACACTTACTTTTCACTTATCTTTTTATAAAAACAAGGCAAACAGACCGTGGTGTTTCTTGTTTTCTAGAAAAATATTAGAACCTTGTTAATTCTGCTAGACTGAACATGGCAGCAAAAGGAAAAATATGATTTTAAGTATAATGGTGCATGCTGGAAGCACAGATTGGCAAGCATATGGGGTTCTGGCATCTGGACAGAAGCCTTCTGAACCATCTGCTTCTCAGAGGTTATTTTGGCAATTTTTGCAGTTATCCCAGTGACTCACGGGTCTGGGCTAAGAATCCTCAACAGGCAGCTAAAATGGGCAGAGTACTCAGAGCTTCTGTGCACAGATCCGTTTCACATTGTCCTGGGTAGTGAGCCACGCTCAGATGTAATGTGTGTTAGTATTTCATCATGGTGACAGCAGACATTGCTTCATGCTAAAATTTTCTTCATATTATGTAGCAGGAGATGGTCATTTTCTCCTTGAGAGGTGTCCCTCTGCTTCTGGTTCTCTGAAATGTGTGTACCTTAGTGACTATGTGCTCTGCTTCATGTCCTTAAATACAGACCTAATTGGCAACTTGGCTCTCCTTTTCTCATTCTATCCAGTGTTCTCAGGAATTTTAGGAATTTCTTGCATGTTTTTTAGGACATGGAAGGATGCCTCATGGCCTACTTTTAAAGTTAAAAAACTTTATTTTTATTTATTTATTTTTTACTTTTGAAATATGTGTACATTATATTCTTGTTTCAGCTTTTGGTTTAAAAAACTCTGAGTCTATATTTAAATGTGTGATCTATAGTGATTAAATATTTGACCTCATAC